AAAAAAAAAAAAAAAAAAAAAAAAAAAAAAAAACAAAGACAAAAACTTCTAGAAAAAAAATAGCAACAAGGAAATGTAGCATTTATTGCTGAAATATGTTTGTTAGTTCTCATGAAATATTTCAAAATCCCATTTATCGACTTTTTCCTATATTGTTCCATAAATTTTTTTTTTCTTTTGGATAAACAAATTATCAAAAAAAAAAAAAAGTAGTATTTCTGTATACATAACCGCAATAGCTGTATAGCAGTATACGAAGACACAGTATACATATATATATTAATAAACACAGTAAATTGATAGTCATACAAATACCCTAAGAAAACGACAAAAAGTTTGAGACTAAATTTTTCTTTTTTGAAAACAGTATTCAAAATACTGAACAATTGTTCTTCCTTTCTTTTCATCCTATTCTTAACGGCATCATCTATTATGACCATAAATCAAAAAACGCCTGGTTAGATTCAAAAAAAAGTTCTAATATTAGTTAGAATAAATCTACTTTTCTGCTAACATTATTACTACTACTACCATTTCTGTCTCTACTAAAGCATAAGAACATCGGAGAGAGCGATAACGTCGTTCATTACACATTTGTTTTTTAGATCTGATTATTAGCTACACCAGAATTTCTCTAAGTCCTCCCTAAATTACTAATCAATAAACACTTACATTTTGAACAGCTGTAAATGCTTCCAGAAGAGCTTTTTCAAATTCGGCTTTTCCTTCCGAAGTTGTTCCGGTTAATTTGCCCAAAACAAGCTGTAATAACATATATGAAAGTATAAAGGTAACTTTTTCCTTCTTTTTTTTTGACCTTTCAAATATGTTTATTTCAGCTTTCTTTTATTTCCTTGACTTTCCGTACTGAGTCTATAATTTAAGAAATGATGAAAAGAAAATTGTCACTAAAGAATGATTCTTGCTGTATAATTTCCAATCGTTTGGTAACTGTACAAAAAATACTGTAGTATTAATGCGATCATGCAAAAAAAAAAATTACTGGCCTACTGTATAGTAACGGAATGATTATTTTGGCAAACAAGTGGTCATTAAGCTAACGTTAAATTAGCTATTTAAGAAAAAAACAAGCAGTAATGGCTGATATATAAAATGAAAGTTAGAATAAAAAAGAAAATCAAAAATTCAGTAATTCAGAATTTGTGCCAGCCATTTGTACCAAACAAATTCTGTTACCTTTTTATTTCGTACAGTAGCTTGCAGCGGTTTTGTTTCGTTGCCACAAGTGCCCAAAAATACAGGTTCTTTGGAAAACTGTAAAACCAGTGATTGGGAGCAGAAAGAAAGAAATCTGGCAAAAAAGTCCCATGTTTTCAAGTTTACAAAATCCAAAGTTTCAAATTCAAAAATATGGTGATTTCTTTTTTAAACCGTTGTGAGGTTTTTTAGTTTTTTGACGTTTACGTCATTTATACAACAAAAAAACTGTGCGTTTACTGACAAATCCCTTTGCTCAACTATCGCTGAAAAGTTCAAAGCTTACCAAAAAATTCAGTTACATTCATTTACGGCATGAACTATGAAAAAAAAGTAAATTGCGAAGAAATAAATTTTACTTTCATAACATTAAAGAAATCGTTATCTGACAGAGTTTCCAGTATTGCTTCAATTGTCTGTTTAGCAATTTCATATCGTTGTCCGAACATTGAACCAGATACATCCAACATTATGACAACATTTTTTGACATTGTAGCACTATTTATGTACCTAAACATTGAAAATAAAAGAAAAGAATGGACTGAACAAATTTGTTCTTTTCCCCTTCTAAATTACTGTATTTGAGCAATATAATAAAATTAAAATTTATCGCTATTTTGAGTTACAGCAACAGCAATAAATTTTCCATCTGTTACCCGCAACCCATTAAAATAGTTCATCACGTTTAATCGGTTAAATTTCCAGAATTTCAGTAAAACACGAAACTGACAGTTGTCAATTTATCTATTCCACATTAACAATAAGTATGAAAAGAAAAATTGAGATAAACAAAACAGTTTTCTTTAAAAACTTGCTCAGGTTGACAGTACCGCAAAAAAATGTTAGGTTTTTTCCCCCTTCAACTTTCAGTTAGATTTATATCCTAATCATCCGGCAAAACGTCGTCGTGTTTTACAGCTAAATTTTATTGAAAAAACAAAACTGTTCCATCAATTGCAAAAAATCCAAACCAGAAAAAGTGTAGAAGAGACAAAATCAGAAGTAACTGAAATTTCTTGAAACTCACAAAGAAAAACATAAACTTTTTTAGATCTAAATGCTAACAGATAAAATGACGTAGTGAACTGTTGTTGACAGAATTAAAACCTTAATTTCTTTAAAATTTTTTGCTCTACCTTTGCAAATCTGTTTATTTTACCATCACCATTATTGTTTCAGTGGTTGAAAATTAAAAAAGAAAAGAAAAATTAACCATTCTGCACTTCGGCAATCAAATAAATCCAATTTTACTTCGGAATTATCCCAACTCCATGCTATTGCTGTAAAATAAACAGCAAAAAGATTATATTTTTTTCTGGTAAAGAAAAAAGATAAAGCGAGTAAGAAAACAACTGTCTTTACATAAAAAGTAAAAGTAAAGAAAATGAACAAAGGCTGATAAAATAACTGCGATTTACCTGGATAAAAGCGCATAAAACCACTAGATGAACAGAACATTTGAAATGCTAAATCTTTGGTCTTTTCCTTATTTTGTCGATAAACATTGTCAATTTCAGACCAAGCAATTTCTGCCAAGACACTGGTATCTGTGAAACAGTATAATATAAAAGTACGACAAAAGAAAATTGCCTACAAATATAAAACTTTCTATGATCTGAATTAAATTGTAAACATAGTTTTACGTGAAACATTAACCTAACAAATACAAAAACCTACTTCGTTCATAGACAGGTGTTGGAATTTGAACTACCGATGATTTAAGACTGGTTGGAATATGATAAAAATTTGCATTTGGTGTTAGCAACAGTTCTTCGGTAGAATTGATCTAGAAATGAACGTGACATTCATTAACTCAACTTCATTTTTTTTGTTAATCATCGTTGATTATGAATTATTAAAATTTTCATCCACTGAGTTAGATTTTCGTCATAAAAATATCTTACAATCCAAGCTGTTTACTGCACCAACAACCTACCACAGTACTTTCTCCAACAACCGTTGCCGGCAGTTGAACTTCGTTGTTCAGTGTTTTTGCTGACATATATCGAATAAACTTCGGTGACATCCGATCGTTGTATTCATCGGTTCCATTTTGTAGTGTCCGTTCTTCAAGTGATTTTTTTGCCACCTATAAAAATTCCTTAAAATTTTCAAATAAACTCATCACTCTTAAAAATATTAACAAAGAAAACTGCCAAATTATAGCTTGTTTTCAAAAATCACCTCACCAAATTTTAAACACCTACCCAAGCAGCATTGGCCCGTACATTTAAGTAATTCTCAATAGCTTTTTTTGCTTTCGCCAACTGTATCTCCGGATCAAATTCAACCTCTGCAGCGTTTCTGTACATCTGAAAAAAGTAAAATAAAAAATTTTTCTGATAGCAAATACCCCAACAGCGACAAAAAATTTTCAGTTTCGACCGTCCAATGTATCCTTCACTATATTTTGTAGAAAAAAAAATTTTTGACACTGTAACTTTTGATGTAAAACAGTAAATAAGTTTCAAAATTTGTTGGCCATCACAGCAGCATCACTTAATTATATGAGGCATGACAACGTAATTGTCGCTACTTATAAGAAAAAATAAACTAATAACAGAATTATATGAATTGAGCAAATGTTCTTAGCCGTTGGCAGTAACGCAACAACAGTTGCACTTTACCTCTTTGATCTGAGACTCATTGACCGTTTCATCGAATAAAAACTGTAATTCTTCACCAAGTACGGCAGCCCAGTCTTTAACTCTGCAAAAAAAAACAACAAGAACTATGCCAATTAGCAATTAAACTCTATTTAACACATGATAAAAGATTAGTTGTGTTTCAGTATAGTAAAAAATTCTTGACACAATTTGAAAAAAAAATAAAAATAAAAAGATTTTAAAAAACGAAAGAAAAAACAGGATGTTAAAGTTATTTTATAAGTTTTCTTTTGCAAAACCTGTTAAAAAGTATTCCATCAATTTTTCTTCAGTCTTTAAGTGATACTGTTTATAAACAGTGATAGACAGCGATACAAATAATAACCCGTAATGCTATAATTGGTAAATAAATTTGGCGAAATAAAGCTTGTACAAAAGTCTCAAAAAAAATTGTGTAAAATTAGACAATATATCGCAATCCCTATAAAATAGCTAACCACTTTCCTCCTTTTTTTTTTGTAGCAACATAAAAACTTACGCTTGAGAAAGGTTTTTACTTTTGAGGTCCGGAATCGAATCGTCACCATCAATACCAAAAAACGATGTTACCGACAGCATAACCATTGTTATCACCCGCATCGTCTAAACAGTATCAATCGTATTCAAATGTATGGCAGCACAACAAGTTCGAGAAACTTAAAGCTGACAAATCAGATGCTAAGCAACTTTTACTGGTAGTAAATCGATAACATTTATATAAAAAAATTTTTCCAGTTTCACATATAACTGCGTAAAATGTACTCAAGGATGTGTTACTAAAAATAAAAATTAGTAAAATTTGAAAATCATAATACAAATCAAAAAAATGAAAAATTAATCACTTATACCCACGAGACACTTATGTAAAAAAACTTAGTATATTTGATTTTGTTCTATCACCAACACAAAACTGTTGAAATTTTTCAAAACTATTTTTTTCTGACTGTAAAAGAGCATTGAAAAGCACTCCTCCATCGGTGTGATACCATTAATCAGTAGATCTTAGGTAGAACTGTAACGCTATGAATACATTTGAACAGATATAAAAAAAGTTTTTTGAACCGATAATGACTGCACTAAAGTCTAAATACTATCTATTCAGCCTAAATAAACATGCATATGTGAACAAAAAAAATCACTGAGAATCAAGTTATCTTCTTTTGGTCGATCTAATTGCGTTTGCTGACAAAACAAAAACTGAAAACTGATAAAAAATAACTTTAGGAATATGTAAGAAGAAGGAAAAGGAAGTGAGGAAAGGAAAGGAAAGAAGCAGTATGTAAATTAATTAACGCTTCTTTTTGCTCAATAAAATCGACAATGACATTTCAGTAATTTGGCGATAAATTCTGCTAGTTGCTTTTTTTCAATTTTTGCTAACAAATTAACGTATATTACTCTACCTTAAAAGGTCTATTGGCCATCTGTTCCTGTGATCGGTTCTGCAGTTGCCGCTGGTTTGGCTGCTGTCGCAGAAGATCTGAATTTATGGC